TTAAACCGCCAGATTTAACGTTAGGTATTTGGTAGAACCGAGCGTCATAAGGTTCCCAAGAGAGTGGTAGTTAGTCGCAGCGTCGCCTCTTGATTGGGACCGTCGTAAACCGATCCTCGCCAACAACATCTAGAGAGATTCGTGACGCTTGTCGATGGAACTGCAGTTTTATGTAAAAACGACATCAAAGACTTAAAAAAAAAAGATACAGATTTTCCAATTTAACTCGTCGAGTACCGTCATTATAGACACAATTATAGAACAATAGGTTGCGGTCACCGGTGACCGCTTGGTGTTTGACAGTTTAAGAGAAAACTTATCATCCAGATTCGCCTAATGATAAAGCTTTTTTTTATAACTAAGAATCGAAGTGGTCTCTAAGTAATACCTGAGAAAAATATAGGTATAAAACATTGTTTTTAACCTAATAAAGAGCCTCTGTTCATTGTGAACAGTTTCTTTAACTTTTTCTGAGGTTTTTACAGGATTCGTTTCGATTCTAGTGTGAGGGTTCATCGTAATTCTTATTTGATATTAATAGCTTTGATCCAATCTGTTCAAACAAATAATAAAATGAATAGAAAGCTGTACCTACTCTTTGTATTAAAGCTTTGCGCATTTCTTTAAAATACCACTACCTACCCATTTTAAAACTACACAAAGATCGTAACTTGGGCAATGAAACCATCGACACGGTGCGCAACCAGCGCAACACTATTCACAGCTTTGAATTGAACAGAGACTAACATTTTCACCATATTTATACACTACGACTTTTATACCTAGTTCCTTTTGTTTTAATTTGACTTTACAACGTTCAGCATGCCATAGATAAGTTCCTATATTATTCAAATCGTCGCGGAGAACCTAACGGGTAACCGGGGCTCCGGCTCGACGTGCAGGAGAAGGAACGTGGTGGTTTTTAGTCAGTAAGAGTCTGACACTCCCTTCCGCCTCACCCAGGCGGGAGCAGTCATTCGATGATTTTCCCCCCTTAAAAAAAAATATATATTATTCAAATCCGATAACTTTCTTACAGAACAACGAGAGATGTTTATTTATTGAAACTTTACGCACAAAAATTGTATTACAAGTACATCATGGAATTAATTCCATAGGCACTATGTACTAGTCATACACAGGGAAATGCACAGAGGATTATTGGTAGATACATAGGTGCAAAATGCAACCTGTAAGCGGTAAGACATTCGATACAAGCGAAAAACTCTAAAATTTTCAACTTGTCTTCAATAAATCATCAGTGGAATTAATATAAAGCAAAATATTAATGTCGTCTCGTACCCGCATCGTTCCCCCTCGCTGTAAAAATCTCCGAATGAAATTCTCAAACTGTGAATATTCGTAACAAACCTATGTGTTTTGTTTGACAACTTATTGGCGTAGAAACTGTTGTTGTTCACATTATTTGTGGCGCTTGTTTTTGTTCGCCTGTAAACGATTATGATCTTTTGTTATTTTGGGGGATAGGTAAACAAGTGTGTTTTAATTTAAATGTAAGCATAGATTATATAAAATTGTTAGGAATAAGAATAATAATTTCTTACTAAGTGAGTACAGGGTAATATACTGAACTGAATTATTTGTATGTAATACCTACTTCTTATTATATTGTGCAATATGAATAAATAAATAAGTACTCAGTAGATAAATAATAGGTTATTATTTACCTACTGAGAATGTGTAGGTAAAAACACGTTGTGGTGATGATGTACAAAGATAAAAACTGTACGTTTTTAAAGTTATTGAATAAAATAAATCATCCGTGTGAAAATGATTTGACTAACTTCATATTGTTTTGTTGTTCTATCAAAAGTGCGGCCGCAAGTTATGGTGAATTAGGATTTGTTTTTCAAATTTATTGATGGTACTGACCAATAAAATTGTGTTAAGGAGTCAGCAATTTTTTTAAGCAAATGGAAAGTTTAACTTAAATATTCTACGTTTACGGTCCACTTTTGGGACTTTTGAGGCTACTAGCTCTATCTTTTAAGTATTAATTGAAACTTATATTGTACTGCCATCTGTTCTTTAACAAAGAACTACGTATTTTGTGTGACCTCGTAGTTTTGCAAGTAGTTACTAGATGGCGCTGTACAATGATAAATGAAAATTTTATTTTTTTTTTGTAAAAAATTCAAGAAAATTAAGCTCAATCAACAATTCATTTTTATAACGATACAAAATATAATAGGGTTGAAATATTTTTATTTAAACTTCATAATTTCAATGAAAAATCCAACTTACAACACAATCTAACATTTAATAAATTTCTCAAGTATCCTAACATACTGACACATTAATTCTACACAATTATTTAAAATAACACATTTATTAATATTGCTTACTTTGTCTAATGACTCCTTGATACTGTTCAACTTAGTTCTAACCATTGGTGCAATAATGTCATTGAGATTATTATCATGAGAACAGATAGCCGCAGAATATATCAACCTGCTGACATCTGTACTCTGGTCATAGTAGTACTTGACAACTAGTAATAAACCATAGAAATTGTAACTTAGGCCCTTACAGTCAATGTACAGGTCCTTACGCAAACCATGGTTGTTTATAAAAGAAATCTGATCCTGAGACAACTTTATTGATTTCATTTTCAAAAATGATATCACTTCTTCAAATGTAAATGACACATAATCCAAGTCATTATCAGGTAGGAAGAAGCCATATTCTGTAATCAATTTCAAATTATGACTGTCTCCATAACATATGAATACTTGTGTATAAGGATCAAAATCATTCTTCGTGTATATAGAAAAATGTACATCACAAAATAATTGTTCACTTAAATTATTCACATTAACATTTGTTACATTCTTGCTAACCAATAACTTGGTCTCATTTCTCGCATTTGGACTGTGGTTAATCATATCTAAGTACGGACATAATGATATCTTTGTATTATCACATATAAGGTTTATAATTGAATGTTCTATATTTTTCAAATCAACCACTTTACTCAAGTCCATAAACACACATCTAGTATTCACTGTAAAGTAGGCCCACTCGTATGCTGCCAAGGAAAAAGAGCTCTTAAATTCTTGTATTGCACTATCATCACTTACATTACTTATTAAAACATTTTCAAAAATATTAAAGGAGGAATCAATGATATCTTTTTGCTTTGAGATCACAGATAGAATGTCATTATCAATATTTTGTTTCACATCATTTGGCAGAAAGTAAGGTACAGAGTATTCTTTTGGCAAACTTTCTAAGTAAATATGCCACTTTGTTTTGCCACTTCGTAGTTTTAAAAATACAAGGTAAAATGCCATCAAAGATTGAAAGGAAATAGATTGCTTATATTCTACTAAACATCGTTTGGAGTTTTCGAAAAATATTTTACAAAATAAATTGTCCATCAAAATCGTTGTGACATTGATAGTTAAGTTTAGGGGTAAATTCATAAGTTCCTCTCCACTCTGTATTTTCCTCTTCGTGAGAACCCCTCGGCCTGTGTCGTTGAACACTGCCAGGGACAACTTATCGTTGCGTCGCATGCCATGTTTAGAGAGCCAGGAGTTCAGCAGAACTATTTCCTCTTGATTATCACAAGCACAAAAGTCGCGATCTTTTTTGATTTTCCTTTTGCGACGAGTTCGGCCCATTGTTTACTTCAACGTGCGGCACTCATTTTGAATTTTGATGATAGACTATGCCATGAAATGACTAAGAAGCTCGAGCTCCTTTGGAATGTCCATGTATTACATAACAAATACTTTTCACTGATTATAACGTGAATATAATTGTGTTTGTTATCATAAAAAATATTGTGGGTTGTTGCGGTCCGTGGTGTGGTCGATTCGATTTTTTTGGATCGTTTTCGTTTACGTTGAAATGTCAAAATAAATGTTGACAGGTTGACAGATAGACACTGAATGACACTGATGACTGATGACAGTTCTAGTTAACTCATTCAACTTGACGGTTTTGTGTAATGTTGCGTACAGTATAAAAAAACATATTTTTTATCCTTTATAGGTCGACGTTCCACGACGACCATCCCGCTTGGTTGGTGACGAAGGAGCACGCCTACCTATGAGCTACCTATTCACCTGGAACATGAAGATACCTAAGCTACTTTTGTCGGGAAACACAGACACAGACAGGAGCTAAACAGAAGCAAATTTTCTATCTCAATATTATTATTTTTTTAATTTCACAGTCATATTCTTATTTCCTATGATCAATACTCATGACTATACTACTAATGTCGATAGAATACTTTTGTGGAGGGAATTCTAAACTTTGTAGTACCTACTACGGAGTCGCGGAGAACCTAACGGGTAACCGGGGCTCCGGCTCGACGTGCAGGAGAAAGAACGGGGTGGTTTTTAGTCAGCAAGAGCCTGACACTCCCTCCCGCCTCAGCCTGGAGGGAGCAGGCGAGACACTTAAAAAAAAAAGTACCTACTAAGGAAAATCGTGTTGCAAACTGCACTCATTGGACGAAACATCAATACACAAAAAAGGCTACAATGTAGTGAATAAAAACCGAGGAATAACAATGGCGACAAATAATAATTTTGAGCAATGTGACGACCTCGAGCGGTCGATTCATAACTACTCTTATAATAGCATTATTATAGGTAAGTAACGACGACAGCGACAATTAAGAGTAGGTATTTACTTATATCTACAAACTTTCTTTTACTTTGACCAAATATTTTTATAAATTTCACATAAATAACAAACTGCTTTGAAGAAAACTAAACGTGTAGGTCTGTACACACAATGACACAATAAAGTCAGACAGTAACAGTAACGTTTAGGAATAATAATAAACAAGTACAATTTCTTTTCCTTTAATAAATAATATTTATGAACATTATTTTGTTACACTGTTATTTATATTGATTTATAATTTGCTTGGTTTGGTCAGCTATGAAAAAATAAATTTTATGCTGCATTAAGGTCGAATGACATTTTTTTTTAATTCGTTCAGAAATATCAACCGAGATTTCAAAATTCAACAGTCAACAACGACAACGTACGTTTTTGTGATCGGCTTTTGTTTATTTGAAAAGTTTTGTTTTATGAGATTTTGATTAGAATAACTGAACTTGTTAACTTTTCTAACAAGATAATAACAAGTTTTAATATTGCTATCAATTTCTTTGTCCAAATATTTATTCAAAGATGTCTCAACAGCAAACTAAGAACTGTATAACTCTGCGAGGATCGGCTCAAATTATTTGTGAATATCTCAGTAAGTACTAATTAAATTAATAATTAAAACGAATGAATGCTGCATGTATTTTGTTAATAAATGACTTAGTTGGTGTTCATACCTTTGAGAAGGTACTTAACTTTTAAAACTTTACAGAATTCGCTATCAATTCGGTGCTGTTCCAAAGAGGTTTATATCCACCTCAAACTTTTAAGGCAGAGCAACAGTATGGCATCACGCTGTTAATATCAGAAGACGCTCAAATCAAAAGCTTTTTAACTAATTTATTGACTCAAAGTGAAGGTAAGTGTTACACATCTTTACTACCAACTAATATTAGGAATTGTATAGGTAGTTACTTTACTTCTCTGACTAATTTAATAACAACATTTAGGTATGAGCTGCACTAGTTAAATTAATTGCTTATACAAACATGTTTTAAAATATAATGTAAAAGTTTTTTTGTGTCTTCCCTACATTTTCGTCACCTGCTATTAAAGTTTAGTATTTTATTAACCCTATTAGCTAGTTACCCATTTCTTCAAAGTCAAAGCATTTCAATATTAATCCTTAATTAGACACTTTTGAAACATCAAAAATTTAATGTAAATTGCTAGTTTTTTAAAAAATTTTTACTCTCATTGACACATTATTTTTAATATTCGTCTATCAATTTTCAGAATGGATATTGAATAAGAAAGTTAGCAAGTTATCGCTTATCATCATCAACGTAGCAAATAAGGAAGTCCTTGAATGTTGGGACTTCAATGTGCAATATGAAGAGGGAGACGCAGCGTTATCTAAAGAAAAGAATGAAACCGTAGGAAGCAAAGACTTGAAGAAAATCCAGCACGAGATCCGCGACGTAATGTTGCAGGTAGCAGCTACGATATCTTACTTACCATTCTTAGACTGTAGGTGTTCGTTTGATGTATTAGTTCATGCTAAGACGGATTGCGATATTCCCGATAAGTGGGCAGAAGCGAAACCTGTAGAAATAGCCAACGCGCAAAATGTTCAACTTAAAACCTTCTCCACTAGTCTACATAAAATGGAAACTGTTGTTAGTTATAAACTTGTAGATTAGCATAATTTTGAGTTATAAAGTAGTAATCTATTTCGTTTATACAAGAATACAGTGCTGCATGATTCTATTTTTCTGGCAACAGTATTAACTATTTGAATGTTATTCTAACCAAAGCTGTTTTTAATACACTTTTTATGGTGTCTTTTTACGTCAATTTGTTTTTCTAATCATTTTATCTATCATGTGTATGACTGTGATCAAAATTGGCTTCATAAAGCTAATTCTCTCAAATTTTGCTTAAAATAAAATAATAGTATTTGAACTGGTAACATACTAATGTGCAGCTTAAATTCAAAGATACTCAAGAATATCAATTTAGTTTGAGTTCTGAACATCATTATTATGCATTGTCTGTCACTTCAAAAACGGTTTAATTACACATTCATACAATTTATACATACTACGTATGTGTTTGATTTATCATTACATGCTTAAATGGCTTTTTATAATGAGTTTTGTAGTATATTTTTATCATAACTATCGTGAGACATACTAAATTAATTAAAATTGCGGGTTACTCACGTGAGCTGCGCGACGTTGCCGCGACCGCGCACGCTGCTCATGAAGAAGAACATCTCTGTGGTTCGAAACTAGTAGAGCTTTTCTCAGTATATTCACGTGAGTAACCCGCGATTTTTAGTTAATTGAATTTTGTAGTAATTTATGAAGTCAGAAACAGCTAAGATATCAATATATCATACCAGTACATGCTATAATATCAATATTAATAGTGACATTATTACTTAGATACTGATTCACATCGGCATATAACTTACTCCAAACGGTTTACTATTTATTTTCAACTTTATCGACTTGTAACAGAATAAAAAATTGAGTGAACATTCACTCACTCACGGCCTTCTGTCGGTACCTTATTGTCTATCTGCTTGCCTAATTCTAGTAGGTGTTCAATACTGATAAATTGATGTACTGAATGATTTTTGTAGCTCATTATAAAACATCTATTCACAACAAGCTTAAGTTGTTAAGTAAGTAATAAGTATTTTTAAGTTTTTAGCTTTTGTACATTCCTTTGTTCTGTTGTAGATGTCTTTTTTGTTCTTAGTAAGTGGTTTTAATATAAAATTAGATTAATGTAAATAGTTTTTGTTTTGCTTCATTTGAAATACCTTGTAGGGTGCTGTGGGCACCAGAGTAAGTAACTTAGTACAGAGAACTGAGATGGAGAAGGCTAAGCTTGCAAAACCTGCTTTAGGTTTGTGATAATTACTATGTTAATGGTGTTCTCATGTGTCCATTCTAAGAAAGAATATTTATAAACATAGGTGGATTTGTTGACAGCCCATGATAGACGCTAGCAGTCATGAAACGGTCCCCATGTGAGTGACTTACTGTGTCACACATTTTTATCTTCTGTCCTATGAATGGAGTGACTGCAACTAATAGCCTATACATAGACGAGGCAATAAAAAAAAAATACTTTCCCAATAACTATAAAAACAAACAACAATATTCACATTTCGTTTATTATATATAACAAAGCACTTATAATTAGCAGTTACAAGCTACAATAAATAACACCTAATCAGCAAATAATACTGTACATGACTGTTAATACAACTTAACATTTTTATAAAAATCGCCTTATTTAATAATGTAGTCACAACTCAAGTGTCTAAATACAAATTTAAAAAGATAGAGAGACCTACCTATTGAATTTGAAGAAGATGAGACCAGGGTTGGTTGTCACAGAGGTCATAGGTAATAGACGGAATTTAGGTAGGTCTAGTCTAACTAAGTTTTAATAAGTGTTGAAGGAAGTAATACTCTTGCAACTTTTCTAATCTTTATCGCCAGTAGTAACACACAACCCCTGCCTCTCCTTAATAATGAAAAATCTTTCATAAAATAAATATTTCGTCGCTTCCATGACATGATCCCTCTTCAACATAACAGAAAAAAATATTACTCAATGCTGGCGAATCTAATTAATGAGAAGGCAAATAAAATTAAATAAATCATAGTTAAAAAAAACTAATTTTGCACAGTGGGCAAAAATTATGCTTTTATAGAAAAACTGACCGTTAAAATGTATTTATTATAAAGCATATCTTATCAGATTACCTATGTGTGTTTAAAAAATCATAGGATCTATTTTTATTGAGCTTTAGTGCCTACAGTCTTTAGTTTTATTGTCATTGCCGCAAGTTGCTCGATAATTTTACCGGGCTCTGGGTTGCTATGTGATTTTGCTGTCGAGTCGTCTTGCATATCAGCAAAACGTTTCCCTATCTCATTTTCGAATAAAGAAAAAACCTTATAAAACTAAACATTACTACCGTTCAAAATTTAGGAACATACATTGGAATCAATTTATTTAAATTCACATTTTTAAGCACCACGATATTCTTAACACTAGATATCGTACAAAACATAGTACAAAAGTAAGCTTAACTAAAGCACAATACATAATATTACATAGGCACATGCCTGTACCTATGCTGAAGTTACGCATAGACTTGCCAATTTTGTTGCATGAAGTTATCCAAATCTTTCTTGTTATTTCATTAAAAATACAAGCAGATTATGAAATGCATACCTACTTCACTAACATAGTCTTTTTTATGCCAGTTGCAACTGATACAACGATTTTTCTTGTTTTATCTTACCAGTATATCTTATTAAAATAAATAGGCAGTGGGATATCGTGTCTTTAGTTATTGTCCATCGGCAATATTATTATATAAACAATTAGCAAAATATTACCTAGGTACATCCGATGACATTTATATGCAGGAATGCTTTTTTCCCTTATTAATATTTTATATAAAAATGCCAAAATAACCATTTTATAATTTCAGTCGCACCATTTCGTTACGTTCATCACCACAGTGGTTCGCCTTTACCTGCGTGCAGAAAAAAGAGCGTTATTGATAATGTTAATAATAACTTTTTTCGCATGCAGTGTTATACCTACAAGTTATTGTTATCTCACAACAAATAGTAAGTTTGTAGAAGAAACATGCATTCTGCATGCTGTACACCTGTAGATTAGTACCCACGTACATAAAAAGCATTAGTAGGCCGTGAGGATATTTAAATGAAAAAATGTAACAACCCGAAGAGGTACGGTCCAAAAAATTCGTTACATTTTTCCATTCATAGAAAATGAGTGCGGATTGTTATACGAGTGCACGACATAAAATAAATTTCGAATATACATACCATTTCAGATTTTCTAATTCCCATGTTCATTCCGTCGCGGTTTAAAGGATTTAGGTGATTGCAAATAAAAAATAAAAAAACAGAACATTGTCGCCTTTCTGTTAATTCCAACACTCATTCTTTTATTGTGGTTTTGGTATATCCATTACATTACATGTTGTTCGCGCCTTAATATTTGTTGTGAGAATACAAAAAACTTATGTTAAAATGTAATGACGTCATTCAAAGGAAATACTGACGTATTTTCTAGTATCTAAGACCATTAATGAAATGAAAAGCTTTAAGTACTCGGCGTTACCAAAGTGAATGTGGAAATTTAAATTTACCGACGAGTTCAGAATTTTCTCGAACGACGCCATATCATTTCAGACGTATAAATGCCCTAAAAATCCTCAAAATTTTATTAAAAATAAATAGTCGGTTTTCTACTTTAATTACATAATATAAATAGTGAACTTAGATCATTAAGAACTTTATACAAAATGAAAAGAAAAACGAAAACAATTAAAAATGGAAAACTATTGTGCAAGTTTCGGTCCCATATAGCGAGTTAGAAAAAAAAACAGAGAAATAAAAAAAAAAATGTTATCGCTATATCCACAACCATACGTCCAATTAGACACACTCGTAAAATTATATATAAATTAATTTATTTATTACTACCTAGCTATAGTTAAAACTGGTATCTGACTAGGTGATGTAACGGACCGGTGAAAATATGGAAATTGCCTTTTTGACTACGATTTTGACCGTACTTGTTATGCCATATTAGTCCTTCTATAGAACTATTATATGAAAACTTGCTTCAAATGTTAAAGTACCTAAAGTAAGTGAGTAATAACTGTAAAATTGTTCATTTTTATTATTTACCTTTGTTATTGAATATTAAGCTATTAATAAACGAGTGCCTACGCATAAATTAGAGAGTCGAACGCATAACAAGTACGCAATGCTATTAACCAGAATTGTATTTTTGTAAAAAACCCTTACCCTAATAGATATGTACAAAAGTTGCAAGTCTCTTTATCATAATATTACATACTACTAGTTATCAAACCTTACAGTTAATAATAACAATAATAAATTGCAAATATTACAAATAATGTTTAAAATATTTACATCTTCAATAACAGAAGAAATAATGGATTGCAAAAGTCATCGCTTCTAGTAAACGTTAAGTAGCACTTTTTGCAATAGTACATACAATCTTCAAGTCTTACAATAGACTTTCTGCTATCACGAAAGAAAAATAGACGAAACTTGTGAAATGTTACGAAAAATCAGTTCAATTATGAATAATACAAGTAGTTAATATAAATAATTGTCGGTACATACTATTAAATGGAAATATGTACTTAAATGTGTAAAATCTCATCGGGCTGTACTGTATACTAGTAGATAATTTAAAGCTCCGTGCAGTTATATTGATACTGATTTCAAATAAAGTACATAAGAGTGATAGATATAGGTATTAACAAATATAAATGAATAAGTTAGTATTTCAAATCAATTTTCAGACTCGAGGTTCATAAAAACAGATTGTTTAAATATTATTATTTACAAATGCCACGCACGGCTGCCTACTAAATCCTAAGTATTCAGCATACACTGTCGCAATATTTGTGACAGTTCGTAATTGCAATCATTATTCTCGTATTTTTTCCTACAAACGTTCGCGATGGAATCACTGGGCTTTAGGGCTGTGAAAACTATAAAACTGTAGTCATAAAACAAATTGTAGCATACCAAATAAAAGTGCGATGCCATTAGTATAAATTATAAAACATATAAAAACGTATTTAACATTGATAATTTTAAGAAATATTATGTAAATCTACAAATAGATGCAGATATCTGTCTCGTAAAACGTAAAAGTTTTCTCAGTCCAGCCGAGTGCGTCGGAAAGTCGCGAGCTAAAAATTTTAAATTTAAAATTGGAACGAGGTGGGTTATGCGCCTGCGCTTCGCTGGCTAACAGTAGTACGTGATCGAGAGGCCCAGTTTACATGTGTAGGAATGGGACATACTGCTTCTATTCGATATATCCTTGTTCTCGCAACGCTGCCCGTTGAAGCCTTCCGGACATCTGAAGTCAAACAGAAAATAACGTCAGATAATGGTTACGAAACTAGTGTTTATTATATTACAGCTGTCCTTTCTGATGTAATCTAATAAAATATAGGCACGTATGTCCTAAGTACTTACTTGCAAGCTTGTTCCTGAACGATTTCGAAGAACAAACAAGTGCCTCCATTGAGGCAGTATGACGACGGGTCGGGCATCGGACATGGCGAGCCCAGCGTCGCTGGAAAAATAATGATATCATTACAGCAACATGATTGATGAGATACAAATAATTTAATAACAATTTCAAGTTTAGTTATCAAGGATACAGAATTTGACGATTAAATCAAACTTTGGCGTAATTTAAACTCTCATCTTTGACTGTAACATGCCACAATAGTCATCCGATTGAGTACCTACCCAACAGTGAACAGAGCACATACAAAAACGGATGATACAACAAACTCATTATACAATGTAACTGATCACCCTATTGGCCTGTATACAGACATTGTTTTAAGTGAGATTCGCCGAAGAAGCAGCGAGTTTCCCTAGTGTTCCCAGTACAACGGTATGAGCATCGGTAAACAATGTGACATGGTTTGATATTTTCCTTTGTTTACCTGTCGATACTGTTGGATCAATGTGACTACTTGGACTTGGAATAGTTACTCAAATCATGCGTTATCCATTGACATTCGAACCATATTAGCAAGTTACAGCCAGTTGGTACATAGAAAGCTGCAGAAGTTAATGTTTACACGTCTGTAAACATTTGAAATCGACTGGTGTTTAGATGTGAGTTGTTTACAATTGAACTGAGTGTCGATACTTGTAGCAAACTAAAGTCTAAATAAACAACGACACTATAGATAAGGATTGCTGCTACCAGGAGTCATTACTTAAATGTGCATGAAGCAAAGATAGATTAAAAAATATAGATTAGCTAATTAAAGAAAAAGCTTACTGGCGTCATCAGGCGCGGCTGTGACTGGAGGTAGAACGCTGACGTTAGCGCTGGCGATGGCCGGTGGGCCTACAGCGCCCTGTGCCCTGCATTCGTACGATGCGGAGTCTTCACTGCGCGCATGCCTTATCACTAGTACCGAGCGCCTCCTGAAATATTTTGCAGAGGGTTGAATAAAATCTCCAATTTCCACCACAACTTAATTTTGATCTTTTTATAAAGTAGGTCTACAGAAGAACTTGGTTGGTTCTACACACTTTTAATTGGGCTTAGGTATATGATTGCTAACAAAGAACCATTATCTATATTGTGCCATACTGGTATAGACTTAATTTGAAACAGTCGTCTTGTGCAAAATATCTAAATCATCATCAAAATGCCCAACGGCCCATGAAATTGTCCGTAGCGCTCAATCATAATAATTACTCTTACATCCACTTTGTCCTCTAAAGATGATGCGAAAACTTTAAAACCTCTCTTTAAGGTTGATTCTTGCGTGATTGGACTGCAAACGTATTTGGAGATGCACTTCCAGGTCGGTCAATGACAGCTGTCTGCAGTTGCGATTAGTGGAGTAATCGTTGCATTTAATGTTAGCACCATATGAGTGCATGCCTCATTTGTTTGCAAACAACATTGTTACTATTTAGCTGGAAGCGAGTACTTCTCTAGTATACAAACATGTTCTCATTCTGGATCAAGATCAACATTGCTTAAAGTCAACTGGGTCATTATGGTAGCTATTTGATAGATAGATACTTTAGGTTTAATATGTGTTTATTAACTATTACTAACGGTCATTATTATGATTGTAGTTAGGAGGACTTACGCAGGCGCAGACTTTACATATGTAGATGATGTGGTTGATAATGCTTGGTACGTTGTATATGCGATTGACAAAAAAGGTTAGGTTTCAGTTCAAAGACAATCTCTCTCACCTGAAGTTTTGCACCCGGAATCTCCTCAGCGCGATATCGGCGACGGGTTTCCCGTCCTTATACCATGAGATGCGAGGGGGCGGCCGTGCGCTTGCCTTGCACTCCAGTCGCACCCGGTTGCCTCGTGTCGTTCGCACCGACTGCATTGGTTCTACGCGTGCTGGGCTACCTGGAGAAACATTTTTACTCTTAGATGATGTTACAGACACTAAAAAAATACCAGAAGAGGTTTTAGTAGGACAAAAACAAAATCCGATTAAAACATTATGACAATGACGATCGTAACCACTAGTTTAGCACTTTTCTCGAAAATCTGAGTGGAATCTAATTCATTTTTAACACGTCTGTCGTTAATCTAATTCCCATTAGTCGAGATCCAGTATCCTACATTCAGTTGCAAAAATTGTACGCTAGTGCAAAATTGAAACAGATATAGGAATTGGAAAAGTCCGTATCTCCACTCTACTGACATTAAGCATGTCGCCTTCAAAAGTCCCGAACTAAAAATAAGCCGCTGTCATTAGGCCAATGGCCTTATTATTTTGTGTGACGAGTAACATATGTAAGAACCAAAATAAACTCGTATTATCTAAACGGGACTCGTTTGGACAACATCCCATCCACGGGCGACGGAAAAAAAATTGGCTGTGCTTCAGTGTGTAACGCGAAAAAAACGAAAGCGTTCGTAGTAAATCATTAACTATTTCTTTAGGATGTGTCATCCTTAATGTCTGGTCGGAATAGATAGGATTGCGAAACTCCAAACGCATTTTGTGTTGGACACATATTTTTATATGAATTCAACTTCCAGGCGTCTCGCGGTTGATGAAAACTTTATAGATATGTCACGGTTTTGTACATTTTGACCAAACGTTAACACATTTTGGCACAGAGCCGCGTTACGTAGAGTTTTGTAACAGCTGCATCTCTTCCTACAATACTACAATTAGATTGTATCTAGGTTGTAATAAAAACATATCTATAGGTAGACCTTGATTGAATGCGGACAATGTCATTGTTATTGAGCTTCTGCCTAGTTGATAAAGTCAGTGATCAGATAATAGTATTATTAATATGTAAAATAAAAAGCTAAAAGTCATATTCAAATCTCTTCTACTTTTGGACTACTTTTTCAGCAATAGTATATGGTATTATACCGGGTATACCTACAGATTTTATTATTGATAATTCCCATTCCCTCTAAAGGTGGGTTATTGTGGATCAGCCTACACACCTTGAAGATTAAAAAATAGTGAACAAAACAAATATTCAGTACCTACTAAAATATAACCCCATGATCTCATCACAATGACGTCACCCATTCATTCTCAAGCCTTTTCACCATTTCATTCATAACTTGTGAGTTCCCAGTTAATGGTATTCTCAGATCGTTCTTTTATCCAAGTTTTGTTGATGAGTTGTTTAGCGATATTTCGTAAAATACATTAGAAACGTGCTCCCCATTTGTTACTCTCTGCAAGATGTAGCCATTAAAATGATCTTCTTCAAGTACCTTCAATATGATTAAAGTCTCCGATAATATACAACCCATCTGCTTGTCAAAGAATAACATTTGTACAAGGTTGAAAGCGCCGTTTGTAAGATTTTCTTGGCGATTGTTATCTCTAGATTTTACCTTTCTGTGTGAAATATTCTCGCGAATTACAGTTTTGTTTTTCATTTTGTTACGATGCACACATTTATTAAAAAACCTTTTCCTCTTTTCCACCATTAGCCGGTAGTGTTTGCACTACGCAATAGATTCACAAAAGTAAAATCATACATTTACTTCAATGAGACATTTATACTTTCCATTCAGCATTCTTCAAGTTTTTCGCTAAAACCGAATGTAGGCGTTACGCAGCAATTCGGTAACGTTCGTCACGAGTGAATGAAATGCCATAAACCGATATGAATGGGGGATCATTGACATTCATGCCAATCCTACCACCCACGCTAAGCGACTAAACGTCACAGGTCTTTAACCAGTAGTTTTGGATTTATGAATGGGTATTTACGCCATTTCTACCGACGAAAGTGGCAATTACGTCAGATGAAAGTAGCTTAGAGCTGCCAAAGTAAATAGGCACGTCTTAAGGAAATGCGTCACATTTCAGAAGTGCCTACTTACAGATATGTATGCAGACTACTTTTAGATTTGCCTCACAGGTCATTTTGCTAGGTTTGAGGCCCACGTTGATAACATTATTGTTGTTATTAGTCCAGACGAAACAAGCCTCGTGTGTATTTTCGTGTAGTAATGGAATATCTCGAAGCTCTCATCATAGATCACCATGTCACCTCAAGTGCCGATTACATCAGACCTCGGCAAAACACCTACTAAAAATCAGTCTACGAGCGTAGACCGTGGCTAATCAAATACATCGTCACCTCATATAAATAGTCTGGGAGCTAGGGACCACATCCTGAACGGAAACTGAATTGGAACATCACAGGTGAGGTGAACTGGCTGGCAGCCAAGTGACTCAGAACAGTGTCGTTGGAGACGAACGAATGACAAACAATTATCCAATAATGTGAAGAGCCGAAGGTCGAAGATTCATTACCTGTTACGTCTTAAGTACTTTTAAGCACTATTGCTGAGCTGAAAGGAGTATGGCTAATTAAGAATATGGATGAACCGGATTAAAAGTTTTCTGCGAAGCAGTGAGTCTTCAGAGGCCTTGGTATCGTTTTAGTATCGACGGAAACCTACTGACTACTTAATCTGAAACAGGTGAAGAAAATCTTGTGATAGTTGGTATATATATGCCACACAACTGCAGAAACATAAGATGATAAAAATCCTGGTCTGTTTACTTCGGTACCTATTCATTTAACGCTTAAATTATACAGAGATTGGTTATCTCCAATTCATTGATCGACTAGTAGGTACTAATATAAATTTAGAGTTTTACAAAAAAAAAAAAAATCGGAAAAAGACAATTTCAAAGTTAAGGCTTTGCTTTCTCAAGTTCCATTGGTGAAACACAGATGGCGGTACTTGTTTGATAAATAATTTACTTTTTATGTGCTGTAAATTGTCTACATACCGACCCGATAAGCATTTCACTGGAATAATGATGAATGTTTTACTAAAGACTTACTTATAAACAAACAAAATAAACATAACTGTATTAATTAGAAATAACCTCCGCAACAAAGTAACAGCTGAAAATTAATCCCAGATTGATATGTTATCCGAATCAAAAGAAACTATAAAACAAATTGTTTACCCAGCAATGAAAATAAGGAGCGTTAGTGTGCTTGCCCGATATAAATATCCAGTGGTAATTAAAGACAGCGCAGACGGGCCGACAGTTTCAAAATAAACGGCTTTTTATTTTTAACTGTGCAGCCACAATAGGTGCAGCTTAGCTTGAGTGTTTAGGTATAGCTTTGTTGATAATCAATTATTAACAGACTTCGAAAGAAATTCAGATCAAATAACGTTGATGTACAGATTTCCTTCATTCATCGGGTATTTAATATTGGTAAATTGGTAAGGTCGGGAGCATTCATATCACTTACAAATTACATTTTACAATCTTAAAAAACCATTAATTAATTTTGAAAGAATATTAATGCACTGAAACCGTGACAATCAATTACTTTGCGATTATTGTTTTGTTTTTGCACACCGGTATTGTAGAAATATTTTAAAATAATTATATTAATATGATAATTAATGAATCTAAATAATGTGTCGATATAAAAGAGTCTTTAATTAAATAATAAAAACCAATTTAAACATAAAGTTCTCGAAAGCCTTTAAAGCATGAGATAAAATCCAATTGTCTGGAATCATCAATACAAACGATCTTCATAATGCTACTTGGTGTTCACTTTTTCTTCCACATAATATAATATCGACAGCAATTTATATTTTACTGGGGATCCGAACCAATCTCCACCTACCGTGGTGGCATCGTGTGTGTTCCGTCGAGAAATTGCGTTACAATCGCCATAAAAAACATGTGTTTATATCTTCATTGGGATGATCGGGTGTGAGGGCTCTCTTTATTGCTAATTCACAGTTTTACAGGAGGTAGTTTGTTATACATTTAACGTTTATAATTATAAATTAATGGAAGCACGAAGGCTTAGATAGTAATCACTGTAAATTAAGTCCTTATGCCTGGAGATGACCAGTTCAATCAGTAAGTAGGTAATTTATGGAATACCTATAGGGAAGTACGGAACACGGCTTCAGTTGTTCATCGAAATCTTTGCAATTTTATTTTGTGACCCACTTTTTCATAAATATACAATAATATACATATGTGTCAATTAGTTGTACCTAATTGATAGTATAAAATTTTAATGTGACTCTAAATGATACTTATCAATATAGGCATTTTGAAATGCATTTGCATTCCATTCGTCGATATCTGTCGATAGGTTCAGGTTACGTCTTCATATTAAATGCGTCGGTGGTCGATCAGGAGACTCGTCGTAAAAATTTAAGTGCTTCAGTAATAATTCCATAATAAAAAACATCATTCAATCATGGAGCGGCTTGGTTTTCATTATACTTATATTTAGCTTTAAATGAAGGATGGGCATTAAAATTCAGGAGGTTATTATTCCTACTATTTTATTATACTTTTCTTCTGATATATGACTTTCATTAATATTCAGGACACACACGTGGGAGTCGATTAGTAGATTTTAAGTCCGGGACATTCAAGTGTGTAGTAATAAAAACCAACAATGGGGTTGCTTTGATTAAACCAACATAAATAGCAAAAGTCGCAATAAATGCTAAGAATATTTATAACAACTCCTAATAGACAATATAATAATTTAATATGTTTTAATGTAATTCCATTACTTATCAATTTAATGAAATACATAATACAAAAATATTCTCAAATTCGCAGATGTCTCAACTACTAAACATTTTTCTCTTCCAAACATCTTAATTACAGTAGCCTATTGCTGTCCGAGTGGCGTTCCAATTTTTACATTTTAAAATAGTTCACCCACTATAGGTAGTTCCCAAATGACACGAGTGCCGTAAGTCGTGTGCGTAAATTTAAACGTAACGATCGCAACAATAAAATACGCTTCCCTGAGTCACAGGTTTTCCTCGAAGTGCTAACATGTATGCTGAAATCTTTCACGGATTCAATGAGCCCCGATTTCCCAAGATAATTCGGTTTCTAC